GCTCCACCGCTAGGGGTTATGTGTGAACTCCCAGAAGGAGGAATGGTATGCAGCCTTTTTTACACATCCTGTCATAAATACTTGCTTTTCTTGACCCACCAAGATAACATTCAGTAGTTCTTTGGCAACCATGCAGTAAGACTCCATAAATGTCTGATACAGAAACATGTCCTCCAACAGAATTAAAGTGTATTTTTTAGCACAAAGTTGTCAATTAACAGGATATTTCTAACACACAGCATGGACATACTTAGAATTACACCCCAAAACACATTCTGCTACTTCTCACGAGTATATGGATACTACATGTGTAAGCATTTTCAATGTTTGGACTGATTATGTACCCGACATTACATCTTGAGTATCAAAAAAATCAATCAACACTGCATAGAAAGCAATGTACTGTAGGGGCACTGTTGTATTGCCAACCATGCTTGGAACCAGGTCAATCACTTCTGGCTAGAAGCCATATAATCTGTCCTTTTATTATGCATGGAACCGGGGTGTCTAGGTTGAGGCTCTCTTATCTCTGTGCTCCACCGCTAGGGGTATGTGTGAACTCCCAGAAGGAGGAATGGTATGCAGACTTTTTTACACATCCTGTCGTAAATACTTGCTTTTCTTGACCCTCCAAGATAACATTCAGTAGTTCTTTGGCAACCATGCAGTAAGACTCCATAAATGTCTGATACAGAAACATGTCCTCCAACAGAATTAAAGTGTATTTTTTAGCACAAAGTTGTCAATTAACAGGATATTTCTAACACACAGCATGGACATACTTAGAATTACACCCCAAAACACATTCTGCTACTTCTCACGAGTATATGGATACTACATGTATAAGCATTTTCAATGTTTGGACTGATTATGTACCCGACATTACATCTTGAGTATCAAAAAAATCAATCAACACTGCATAGAAAGCAATGTACTGTAACGGCCACCTCTGTACAAGTGGTCAGGTAATTTAGCAATATATACTTTCACCTACAGCAGTCCCAATTCCTAAAAGCCAAGCAGGCCTAATCTACTGGCATGTGGCTGGCCTCATAGCACAATGCTATATTCATTGACCAGGAAATACATGAGGCTGAACAAAGGGAAAACAACAGAGTACCTGGGGTTCCAGGAGTGCAGTTGTCTGCAGAGAATGAATGGGACTGGTGTTATGCAGGATCATAGTCAGTGGGACAGTACTGTTGGCACACAGAGACTTAGTTAGCAAGCAAGCAAAGGATTAGTCCAAGCAGCAGGCAGAAACATGACTGATAAACAGGTCAGGGTCAGTTTAGTCAGAGATGTGGTCTGTATGCAAGTAAAGGATGAGTGAAGGCAGCAAGCAGAGACTTGGCCAATTACCAGGCCAGGATCAGGCAGGCAGAGACATTATTAGTACAGTGCAGTGTAATATTATGGGGTAATTCTCAAGTGTAGTAGTCTGCAGGTCTCTGGGAAGACATGGAGACAGGGGCTGAGGGTTTTTCCCACTTAAAGCTCCCCAGAAGCCTCTGGACTCAAGACCCTGATCCGGGAATTACAAAACCTGGAGTAAACCAAAATCTTAGTTTTCTCCACTCTGAAACACTACTTTGGAGCCTTTACTTTGTATAAATGAGAACCCTGTGTTGTCGTCAATCTCACTACTACAGTGGCAGGGCTTTGCATTGTCACAGCAGGCAAACGATCAGTCCAAGTGTCAGGCAAAAAACATGGTTGACAAACAGGCTGGGATCAGTTCAGGCAGGCAAAAAATTCAAGGTGGCAGGCATAAACATGGATTGATTAGTCGATTAACAGGTCAGGATTAGTTCAGATGGCAAGCAAAGACATGTTCATTATTCAGGCAAAGATTCCATCCAGGAAGCAGGCAGAAATGTAGTTGAGAAAACAGACAACTGGTTGGCACACGGGACATCAGAAACAGGGAAATGACAGGTAGTCGTGAGGGACACAGTAGTAACGTGTGTTATGTCTTGCTCCCTCTCTAGTGCATACACAACATTTCTTCTATGTTTTTGGCCTGCATGGATAGGAGGGATAATATCTGAAAAGTGGCTCTCATGTAGCCTGCTCATTGCATCAGAATGAAGGTTCTCAGGTGCAGGGCCTTCCTGGTACATAAGGGCCGCTACAATCTCCTCTTGATAATTTAGGAAAGAGACAAGTCATTCTATGGACTTATGATAGGTGATGTAGGAGTTGTAAATGGCCACTGTTTTATACCAGTGAATGGATCTTCTGGTTCCCAAATTGCATCATTTGGTTGTTATAGTCTATAGTTTTTTGGACCAGACTATACCTTCATTGGATTTCCACTGAGGTGTCTTTGTGGATAGAAGAAAGGGCATACACATCCCACTTTTCCCTCTATTTAGGGGCCACATTTTTTCATTCCACAAACTCACTGACTCCCCCTTTTTCAACTTTTCGGTCAACAGTCTTTGTGGTAAGCCCTTGCGATTTGCTCACTTGCACCATAAGCTAGAGCTTGCTACAGATAAAGGTGGCAAAAAAGAAGCAGGCTTGCAAAAAAAAAAAACGGTATGTCCACATGGTATCCCTGATGGAATAGGTATGATATTAGGTCCCACACAATTTCTACACTGGTGCTGATATAATTTGAGATTCTAGGGGCTCCAGGCTGTCTTTCCTTTCATAAACGAAGATGTCATATGTGTACCCTGTGGCCCTTTCACAGAGTTTATACAGCTTCACTCTGTATCTGGTACATTTACTTAGGATATACTATTCAATTCCCAGACTGCTGGTAAAATGGATGAAAGACTTATCAATGCAAATATGTTTGTCAGAAATATCAATCTGAGATAATTGGAAAAAATGGTAATTGTCTTAATTTTATAAAATTTTGTATTTGAGGTGATTTTGGGGAGTGCAAAAGGAATTGTCACTAAAATAAAGAAATCACATTATAGTTGTATAGCATGTCGTGGTCATCACAGAGAAATAGCATGGTATATGGTGGATGGGGTGTGGAGACCATTAGAAGCAAAGTTCTTTTTTTTTTTGTGCATCTCATATTTAGTGTAAGGTCAAGAAAGATTTTAAATTCTTGAACTGTGTTGAGCTTCCATTCAAATGAACGGCTATCAATTGAACTAAGAATATTGGCAATGTGCTACTGGGCATATAGGCTGCATTGTTTCCACAATTAAATTGAATAAGGCATTGGTTAAAAATACATTAAAAACTGAATAGATTAACATTTTTCGTGTCTGTCTGATTGCCTGGTTGTGCTCTAATGAGGGGATGATAGGTGCTGCTGAATTAGAGGGAAGCCATAAAGGAATTGAAAGTGCCTCTGGGATACTAGTTTTTGGGCCCTAATCCTTCCTAGCTGAGACTTCACTACTTGTACTTGGTCTTTCATCTAGGCATACTTCTTGGGCTTAGACTTGCTCTGTCTCCTCTCACACCACTCCTGTGAGAGGAAACAGAGCCCATGGCTGCAACATGCAGCCTTTGGTTACCTTTTTTGACCACCTAGCTGATTACAGAGATTACATGCTACAGGGCCAGATTGACAAAGCTCCGGTCCGGCTATTTATAGAGTGGCTGGGCAGGAAGAGGTTAATACGGTTAAATTACAAAATGATTTGTATAGCAATTTTTACGCTATATGTATTTTTTTTTTTTTAATTTTCTATATTTTGTTTTCCACGAAAACTACCCTTTAAATGTAGGTGGGTTAGGTGGTCAACCTTAAATATTTCTTAAAACTATTTCCCCAATTTCTTGTTGTAATGATCATAGAGTGTGTATGACTGACGTAAATGCTTATAAAATATAGCAATAGATACATACGTACAGTATTTTAATGAGTACACATGAAAAATACAATGTGTACAGTATACTGGTTACAAGTCATTGAGTGTTGTTGTTTTCTGTTTTATACAATTTTCCATTCATACTGTATATACATGTCAAAGCAGCGTAGTTATAACTAAATTATGAAAGCAAGGACAACACCTCTGCTCCTTCAGATCTGAGAAAGATTTGATTTTACCAGACTCTTGCAAGATAATAAGCAAGGGATGTGAATCACATTCTGGTGCTATAAGGAGCTAAATTAGTCTGCGGTTCAGCAAAAAGAATATACTTAGTACTCCCTACTGTGAAGAGATATATACTTCGTGGTATGATGGAGCAATTATATGTTAACGGTAGCATAAAAGAGAATATTTAGGAAGCACTTTATCGCTATAAAAGGGTACACTCTGCATTATGCTGTATGGCAAGATATAAAAAGAAATGGGGATCTATTTTTCAGTAAACCATTATCCAAAAAGCTTCAAAATCTAGACAATCACTGCTTTTCAGAAACAATTTCCAGTGTGTCAGAGAGTTGCACGTCTTTAATTCTATTTATGTTTCTTTCCATTAATTAACCACTTGCCCTCCAGAGGATTTACCCCTCTTCCTGACCAGGCCATTTTTCGCGATACAGCACTGTGTTACTTTAACTAACAATTGCATGGTCATGCAACACTGCACCCAAATTAAAATCCTGACAAATGGAGCTTTCTTTTGGTGGTATTTGATCTCCTGTGCGTTTTTAATTTCTTGTTCTATAAACGAAAAAATACCAACAATTCTGAGAAAAAAAACAATATTTTTGACTTTTTCTTTTTAAACATATCCAGTAAAAAAAAAAAATAAAAAAATCAAATTTCGTCATTAATTTAGGCCAAAATGTATTCTGCTACATGTCTTTGCTAAAAAAAAAATTCCAATATGTGTAAATTAATTAGTTTATGTGAAAGTTATACCGTCTACAAATGGCGATATATATATATATATATATATATATATATATATTATATATATATACTGGAATTTTTCATTTTTATACTAGTAATGGCGGCGATCAGCGACTTATACCGGGACTGCAGCGGTCTTTCTGACACTAGGGAAAACTGACTGTCACTGACATCCCAATGACACTAATACAGTGATCAGTGCTAATAAAAAGCACTGACACTGTACTAATGGCACTGGGCAGGAAGGGGTTAACATCTGGGGCAATCAAAGGGTTAACTGTGTGCTGTTTTACTATGTGCTGTGTGTGTGCGTATTTCACTGTGTCAGCACATTGCTTTGTATTGCTCTGCTATGCAGAGCAATACAAAGCAATGTGCAGGAGCTGACAGGGGAGAGATCTGTATTGTTTACATACAGGTCTCTCCCCTGTCAGTGATACTCGGTGATCGCTGGGTGCCGGCAGGGAATCACTGGCTGGGACCTGGCGATCGACAGGTGAGGCCGCCAGTGACAGCGCGAGTAGGGCGCCCCCATCCGGAAATACAAAATCACGTATATATACACATGATTTTGCGCAGCCCTGCCACCCTGTAGCAGTATTTCAGGAAAGCAGTTAAGGACTATACTAGAAGTATACATTTCAAATGTGTTCTTGGGTATTTGATTCTACTAATAAAACTGCTGTGCTATTGCTAAATAGTTATGAGAAGGAGCATGGTACCAGTTGGCCTGCTGCATGAACCCTAGGGTTCTCAGGGGCACTGAGGCTCTTTTTGCAAAGCATCATTGTATCTGTTGTTAGTATGGATGAATCTACAAATTTATCACTCATTGGAGTGTAGGCAATCTGAAATTAATTTCTAGCTGGACAGCAAAGTGGCTAAATGGTTAGCACTTTCGCCTGGCAGTACTAGGGTTCCCAGCCACGGCATCACCTGCCTGGAGTTTGCACGTTCTCCCTGTGCCTGTGTGGGTTTCCTCCGTGTCCTCTGGTTTCCTCCCACACTCCAAAGACATGCTCGTAGGTTATATGGATCCTGTCTAAATTGGCCGTACTATGTGTATGTATGAATATAAGTTAGGGACCTTAGATTGTATGCCCCTTGAGGGTTAGGGACTGATGTGAATGTACAATCTATATGTAAAGTGTTGCGTAAATTTGATGGGGCTATATAAGTACCTGTAATAAATAAAATAAATAATGTGTTCAGTGCTCTCTTTTGTAACTTCATTTGATAAAGAGAAAAATGAGCAGATGCGTCTTAGGACCTTGTAAAATTATCACAAAGTAAATCATATTCTGAAACACTCTGGGTTCTACTACACAAGGTACAGTATGGCTGTGCTTTGAAACTTTGGCTGATTGGAACTATCCTACCAGAAATCCCCTAATCCCTGTAATCTTTACAGTAATTTACATGTAACTGATCAAAACCCCTGGAACCAGCAAAGGGCTATTGCTGCCTGTGTAGCAAAGCTATAAGTCTGGGCAGATACAGTGAAAAGGATGCCAAAGAAAAAAAATGCACCACAGAGGCACTGGAACTTTGATATGAGTTTATCCAAAGTAGTGAGAGGGCAAACATATTTGAAAAGCCCACTGGCTCAGGGTAAGATGTTCACAACAGACAAGGCTACCCTCCAACGAGTATCCCAGCAGGTTACCAGAAAAAAAATGTGCATACCTGAAAGGAACTCCAGAACAAAAGAGCCAAAATTCATTTTTTGCTATTGTGCTCAAAGACAGCCACAGTGGGTCAAAAGAACTCCTTCTTCATCAGGGCTACAACAAATATGATATAATGCAAATATAATTGTGATTGATAAAATCATGAGCCTAATTATCATAAAAGATACAAATATGTGCACATGGGTACTCACACGTGCATCCAAAAATATCTCCATATACACATACAGGTATACATGCATAGAATGAAGCTGAAGAAATATCAGAAAGTTATAATGTGTAATTAATTCATTTTCTAAATTAATATTATCAGATTTTATATGGTTAGTAGATGCCATTACACCATTATACATATAACTGTCAAAGAATTATGATGTATAACAATAACTTATATACCAAACCAGTCCAATTAAAGTGTTACTAAACCCACAACAGTAAAATCAGTCTGTATATGCAGTAAAGCATGCTTGTTATACCCACTGTGGAACCTAAGGGGTTAATTCTCTGCATTGTGTAAAAACGCTGTTTGATCCTGACTTCTGAACAGACAGACTTCTGACAGACTGAACCCATACCCCTTCTGCACATGCTCAGTTTAGTGTGTATCGCTAAAGAGGTTTTTTTTTTTCTTGGGAGAGTGCATGTGATCAGCACAGGGCCAATCAGCACTGTCCAAGCAGAAGTCAGGGGTTCTGCATCCACCTAGAGCAGAACGAAAACTCCTCCTACAAGCTTTAACCAGTGCTCAGCTGCAGTCCCAAGACAGCTCTAACCAGGGGTGGACTGCCCATTTGGGAACTCAGGCACTACCCGAGGGCCCGGGGTCAGTAGGGGGCCCCATGAGATGCCCCTGGTACCTTTCATAGGTTTTTTTGGGTGTTTGTTTGAGTGTGGGCAAGGACACAGGGACCCCATGATCCCCTATTGCCCGGGGGCCACATGAGTTGTCAGTCCACCCCTGGCTCTAACTGATGATGCGAAAAGGTATTTAACAGTTTATATTTACTAAAATAATTGCATTTCCATGTTGTGTGTACTGTGGGAGACCAGATATAGTGAATGCAGGCTCCTGGGTTTAGTAACACTTTATGCACTTCTAAGCCCAGTTTAGTTAGAATAATACATAAGACTGGTTATGGATTGCTGCATTTTCTGCACTGTGCTAATAAATGGTTAAAAATTATTTAAAACATCTGTTTACTTAATTTGTTCTTCAAAAATGATTGCTTGATTAGCTGTTGTATTAAAATGTAGTATTAAATGTGAAATGTATTCAACATGAATTTAAAACCATTAAAATGATGATACCTAGGATGTAATGACATGCCATAGACACAGGTCATAATTTTGTGACTACAAATATTAAGTTGCTTATACTGGCATGTATTCAGTAGGCTTTGATGTCTTTTTTCTTTTTTAAATGAGAATCTACTCAGAAATAGCAGTCAGAGAACAGGTCAAGACAATGTGAAGGAAAGTCTGGGAGTGTATTGGCAGCCCAAGGTTACAAAGATGAAAGAAAATTAGAAATCATTGTCTCCCAACCTTTTAGCGAATTGTCGGCACAATTTATGGTCTTCATAAAACTATCTATATATTTAATGACCCAAAGATAGAAAGTGCAAATAAGCATGCAATGGTCCTATGGCCTGGATCACCCTGAAATTCATACAACTGTATCTGCTAAAAGGTTGAGGGGTCACTGAATTATATTTCAGAAAAGGGATATTATCATGTCTATCAGCTGTTATGACACTTCAAATCATTTTCTTGCGCACTCAATCTGACGAGTTTTCTATGTAGACCTATGGCAAATAAATGTTGAATGTTAAACCAGACTTGAAGTCAGATGTTCACTTAAAGACATCTTCACATTCTTGATGGGGTAGACACATAGTTATAGAAGGCTTGAAATACATACTTTCTTTTAAAGAAACATATTAACTTTTAAAACAAATCTGTCAGTATACGAAAACAAAGAAACTGCTATGAGGTGTACATAAAATCCAGGCACCATTTTTGCAGCCTCCATGTCCCTGGCTTTACATTGATCTGATGGGCAAAGTTCCTACAATACAATTCCTAGTACTGTTGAAGCCTGACTTCGTCATCCTGCCCCATTCACATTTCTTCTGGTCAGGGAGGCAGATCATCGTAGAGAGATGGGTGGAATATGTGGGTTGGGGTAGGCAAGCTTGACACTACCTGGAAGTGTGGCTTAGTTGTCTGCACCTGCTAACAGTTTTTATTAACCCCTTGGCACCGGCACCTCCTGGCCCTCTAATGCAGGCCATAGATGGGGAGAAAAACTGCAGATTTTTCTTTTAAAAAATGAAAAATCGGTTGTTCAAGTGGCCGACGTTACCATCAATGGTAAAAAAAATCGGCCGATTTTCTACCCGTCTAGAGCCGGCAAAAAGTGTCCCTGCAGAGAGCTCTGCTATTTCTTTGACAGTTCCTTGACATTTATAGAAGTTGCAACAATGTATCTATTTGTTTCCATTTAGGATACAGATGTTTTTATTCGGAAACAAATAGATACAATGTTTCAACCGCTGTAAATGTCAAGGAACTGTCAGAGAACTGTCAGAAATAGCGGAGCTCTCTGCAGAGACACTTTTTGCTGGACTGGAATTCTTCTTATTTTCATCCTACTTCTTCTTCTTCTTCTTCTTCTTCTTCTTCTTCTTCTTCTTCTTCATCTTCATCCTCATCCTCTTCTTCTTCATCCTCATCCTCTTCTTCATCATCCTCATCCTCTTCTTCTTCTTCATCCTCATCCTCTTCTTCTTCTTCTTCTTCATCCTCATCCTCTTCTTCTTCTGCATCCTCATCCTATTCTTCTTCTTCATGCATCCTCATCCTCTTCTTCTTCTTCATCATCATCCTCATCCTCTTCTTCTTCATCATCATCCTCCTTCTTCTTCTTCTTCTTCTTCTTCTTCTTCTTCATCTCTTCTTCATCCTCATCCTCTTCTTCTTCATCATCATCATCCTCATCCTCTTCTTCTTCTTCTTCTTCTTCTTCATCCTCATCCTCTTCTTCATCTTCTTCTTCTTCATCCTCATCCTCTTCTTCTTCCTCATCCTCTTCTTCTTCCTCCTCATCCTCATCCTCTTCTTCTTCATCATCCTCATCATCTTCTTCTTCATCCATCTCCTCTTCATCATCATCCTCATCCTCTCCTTCTTCTTCATCCTCATCCTCTTCTTCTTCTTCTTCATCCTCATCCTCTTCTTCTTCATCCTCTTCTTCTTCCTCTTCTTCTTCTTCATCCTCTTCTTCATCGTCTTCCTCTTCTTCTTTTTCTTCTTTTTGTCTTCCTCTTGCAGGTCACTGCTCATGCGCAGATTTTTTATCGGTAAAAAATCGGCCGATTCGCCCACTAATTTGCCGCGAAAATCGGCCGATCGGCAAAATCGGCCGATTTTTTTCCAACTTTACCGAAAAAAAAAAAGGCCAAAATACCAAAAAACGGCCGACCAAATCGCCCACTAACGATCCGAAAATCGGCCGATTTTATTTTCGGCCGAAAAATCGGCCGATTTTCGACCCATCTATGGCCTGCATAAGGGGTATGTGATGCCAGGAGGCGGGGAGGGGTTTAGAGTCATGTGACCACAGTGACAGCCAATCACAGGTAGCATTTGGGACCTTTCCATGAGGCGCCGGTAAATGTGCTGGGAGCAAGCAGAGGGCGCGCTCTTTGGCACATCTTTTGTTTACATTGTACGCAAATATGTGGCCCCTCGGCGCCAAGGCCTAGCCGCCAAGAGGCCACC